ATAATAAGCCTGAATACTGTCAAATATCCAGTTTGTTTCTCTTTTTTGCCAAGTGTCCTACAATATTTTTAATGTTGGTTTGAACTAGGATCCAAATAAGGTCCACAACATTGTGACTGATAGATAGATCTCTCGGTGTTCTTTAGTCTGTAGGTTCCCACACCATCTATTCTTCCCCACTTTGCTATTTGCTGTAGGAACTGTGATTTTAGTTGTGTGGAGTCTCTCTCAATCTGGTGCTGCTGACTGCATCCCCCTGGTGTCATTTCCCCAGCTCTTCTGTCCTGTGTTCCGTTAAATCATCTGTGAAGCTCAGTGGGCAGCCAGAGTTAGGCTGGCTCTGGCACCGAACTCCAAGGGTGGTGGTGAGCAGGGCCATCAGGAAGGGCCACCTCGTGCTTTCTCCTTTGTGATGTCAGCAGCAACTTATGACCATTGATTACAGCCAGTCACTTGTTAGGAATTCTAAAATACTGAGTTAGAGCAAATCATTCCTTCTTATCAACTGGAATGCTTTTATAAGGAGGCTAGAACTTCCTTATGCAATATGTTTGCTCTGAAGAATACTTCACACAGAAAAAGTAAAAAATACTTGGTTTCTTTTTCTTTATGTATAAGCTTTCAAAAAAGTGAACTGGTTCCCTCAGCGGTGTACTGGAGCCCTCCAAGGAGTAACCACTTGGTGAGTAACCACTGATGTCTTTTGTTTATTAAGTGTCCTTGTGAACTCTTGAATTTAGTGGATAAATTATAGTCCATGAAGTTATCTTTTTTTAAATCCTCACATTATTCCATCTTTGGCCACTCTGAGCCTATTTTAGATGGCTCCCAGGCCCTTTGCATGGCATCTTCTTGCCCCTTGACACTTTCCTTTTTTGTGTGACAGCAGCCCCAGGCTTGTCTAGTAAACTTTGTGCACCAGACAAAGTTTTACAGTTTTCCGAGGTGCCTTGGCTCTTGCTCAGGGGATATGCACTTTGAAGACCATTTAGATTGCTGCTGAGTCGGTCACTTTAGAATCATGAGTTTTAAAAATAAATATATCATACATTCATATTTTCACTTCAGATCAAAATCAGGATCATACGAGTTTTAGTTACTCTGTATGTTTTTGTGCTTTTAATTTACTTCTGTATTTTCTTTCTTCTGTCTCCTGAATCCCAGTTCTCAGTGACACGAACATTGTACAGGATGTGTTACAGAATGCACGGGTCAGTGTCAGAATAACAGTGTCATCACCTCCAGAAACTAGTAACCCAACAGTACTTTAGAGTGTGTGTGTGTGTGTGTGTGAAGTTATTTTTGTCCTTACCTTGTATGTCACTAACAGATGATAAATTAATGTTTTAAGTTACTTGGAACAGTTTCTTTGTGTGACATCATGCCACCAGTCGAATACAGAGTTGGGTTCATGTCCTTTTATTTACTTTGGATTTTTTTTTGTGTGTGTTCTCCAGGAAATTTATGACACTTTGCAAGAGCTCTTGTGTGTAATTAATGACATCTGTCCAAAGTCGTCTTTCGTACAAACCCGCGTCCCACCTATCGGTGGAATTGCATTCTGCTTTGAGAGCTCTTCCCTGTTTTCTTCCTCAGAGCAACTTGCACTCTGATGGAACTCTTTAATTATTCCACTCCTCTCTACTGTCCTTTCAGATTTTTTTGATGGATTGTCTCCTAAATCTTAACTCGTCTCTTCAAACTTCAGCCATAGTTTTACCCTATTAGCCACTGTCCCATATTATCATCAATGTCTTTATAGCTTCTTTTATTAATGAAGTTGTCTTTGTGTTCATATATCTTATCCAACCTTATGTCTTGTTTTGTCTTGCTATGGACTTCAGGCTGGCCTTGAACTTGAGTGAGCCTCCTGCCTCAGCCTCCTGGGTGCTAGGATTACAGGTGTGTGTGCCACCATGCCTGGCCCAAGCTTATATTTTGATGGGTTCTCTGGGATCTTAAGGGTAGCTCTCCAGAAATAAAAATCTTAGTTTTTCATTTATTTTATATATGTCATATGGGAGCACTCACTGCCCTTATGCTTCAAGATGGATCTGTGGGTGGTTCCTAAAGGACCCCGAGTATCCTACATGTACTGAGCATTCACAACTACATGACATTCCTCAAAGTAGTAATCTAAGGAGGGAAAATCAATCTTAGGCAAATTCACGAACAGAATGAAACCCTACACTAAATCAAGTGTACGATTTAAGTCTTAAAAGAATTTAGGATTCTGTAGTTCATAATCTCATGTTTCTAATGCAAACTAAAATGAGCTCTTAAACTTAATGAAATACAGGACTATCATGAGTCCAGCAGCTATAATTCATTTTAAAACTTCTTCTATTTGTTAAAATAGTCGTATCTGTGCGAGTGAAGTGATTTTCACCATAATGCAATTCAATGATTGTGGCTCCTTCCATCTTGTGGCACCCAGGCTCCTGGCGGGAAGGTTTTCCCAGTGTGGTGGGCGTTGCTGAGGGTTTTTCCTTTCCAAAGTAAGGGGCAGAGGCGTGCCCTGTAATTGGAATCTGAACTGGGGGAGGCAAGAGTTCCTCGCTGGTCTCTTTACTAAGGAGCTTTTCTTTTTCATAACAGTCTTTGCTTTTCATCTTTATTTCTTCTCTGTACTTCTCATTCTTTAGTATTTCCTCCATGGTCGGTGGAGTATTTCTTTTTCTTCTAATCCAAGCTTCCCATTCTGTTGGGATGCCACCCACTTCATAGTCAGTTTCATTTTTTTTGCTGCTTCTATAATCCTTTTCTCTCGAACAGTCTGTCCTCTCCAGTTCGTGTACTGCGGGATGCGGTAGTATTTGTTCCCGAGCTAGTCCGCGCCCACGTGCTCCTTCACCACCTTGGACAGCATCCTTCACAGGGCTCGGAACAAACCCTGAGGCCAACCCTTGCGGGCCCTCTGTTTCCAGCGGGATGGATTTGTTTTGGTATAGGCTTGTAGTTTTTAAAATTTAATTCTGCCTTATAGTTATGCCAAATATTTACTTGATTTCAAAGTCATATCAAGTGAGAAGAGATTTAAGAAATCTAGGTTCTTTTTTTTTTTTTGTCTTTTTGAGACAGGGTCTCACTATGCAGTTCAGGCTGGCCTTGAGCTCACTTTGTAGCCCAGGCTGGTCTCAAACTCGCAGCAGTCCTCCTGCCTCAGCTTCCCAAGTGCTGAGATTACAGGCATGCACCACCATACCCAGCCAAAATCTAGGTTCAGTGATTGTCCCTTTTACCTTAGTTTTTCTCCCTTTCTCTTATCTTACTGATTTCTTAAAATAGAAAATAATGTTGATAATTTGCATTGCTGCCCTTTTCCTAAATGGAAGTGTACTGCCCACTTTCTTCCCCTTCCTTTTTCACTCACCAGTACGTACTGAGACTACCCCCTAGGGTTCGTGAGAGTTCTCATTCTTAGTTTGCTCTTTCTCTTTTCTGGTGCGAGGGTATCAAACCCAGCACCTCCCATCTGCCTGCCAGGCAAGCGCTCTACCACTGAGCCACACCCCAGCTGCCCTGTCTCTCTTTATAGAAGCACTGAAATATATGGTGCAGAAGTCCCTTTGCTTTTCCTTTTACACAAGAAGTTCTGAGGGATCTTCGTTTGTTGTGTAGTGCTGGGGTTAGAACCCAGGATCTCCCACATGTGAGGCAAGTGCTCTGTCACTGAGCTACACCTCCAACAGTCCCCACAATTTTTAAAATATTTAGTTTTGCAATCTCCTTATCTTTCTGACTAAATTGAAATCTTGGTACATATAGAATTTTGTATCCTTAATTAAGCATTTCATTCAGTATTAAGCATATCTGCTGGCAAAAAATGTGTTTTTAGGGGCTGCACACAATGCCTGTTTATAGGAATAAGGTAACACAAGAGTGTATTAAAATTCCCTGACTATGGGGGCTGGGGATTTAGCTCAGTGGCACAGCGCCTGCCTGGCAAGTGCAAGGTCATGAGTTCGATTCCTGGTACTGGAAGAAAAACAAAACAAAATTCCCTGACTGTGTCTCCTTTGTCTTGGCCAGTGGGCCCTGAAGCCTCTTCTTTAGGAGTCTAAGCATGCAGGGAGGGTTTCTGTATGCCTCCCGGCCTGCCCTGCCCCAGACTGCAGCCATTTGATCTGAAGACTCTTTGGAAGCTGAATTCCCTACTTATTCCAGAAAAGTTGAAGATTTTTGTCTCAAGAATCAAGCTGAAGATTAGTTGAGATTTGAAAGGGTTTATTTCTCAATTGTCTTATCCAGCTTTCCCAAAATGTTGGAAATTTTAGAATTTTTTTTTTCCCACTGTATAGTCCAGGCTGGCCTTGAACTCATGGTGATCCTCCTGCCTCAGCCTTCTGAATGCTGGGATGACAGGTGTGTGCCACCATGCCTAGCTTAAAAGTCGGCTCTGAAAATGTATTTGTAAGGAGACTTTAAATAAATAGTGGGCCATTAAAATCTGCCCTTGTGCCCCCTTCGGCAGCACGTATACTAACCTGGTCTATTTTTTTTTCTTTTTTTTTTTGGGACCAGGAATCAAACTCAGGTCTCAAACTTGCCGGGCAGGCTGGTGCCTCAGAGCTACATCCCTTGCCCTCAAAATGTTCCTACTTTTTTTTTTTTTTTTTTTTTTTTGCACATATACTAAAGCTTGCCCTTGATATTACAATGTTATGTTAGTTTTACACGTACGAATTTATTTAGAACTACCTTACATTGTAATCAAACATAAATTAATGTGATAAAATAAAAATGATAACAAGGAGTCTCATGAATGTGTAGAGCTTTAATTTTTCCAGTTTACGGTGCGCGTCCACTCACCTCCTGACTGCAGCCCCCTGCGCGCTCCCCACTGCAGGGAAGAAGCAAGGTGAGGAACACGTTCTCGGAGTTGAGGGTTTGTGGATACGGCGCGCGTGAGCGGCACAGCCACGCAGAGCGCGCACAGCTCCGGCGTCTGGGGCCGCGGTCCGCCGCCACTCTCTCGCATTTTGTTTGGAAGGACGTACCTTGAGTTTCTGCTGCAGGCGCTTGACCTCCACTTGCAGGGTCTTCGTGGCCGTCTGCGCTGCCAGCGTCTTCCGGTTTTCCGTGGCCAGCTGGCGGGTGAAGGCCCGGGCGTTCAGCCTCAGCTGCCTCTCCAGGCTCTGCAAAAGGGGGTCAGGCGTTCAGCAACTCCGCGGCCAGTGGGCGAAGCCTCGGCCACAGGGGAGATAACCAGAGAGAGCCGTGCAGCCCTGCGGGACCGTTTCGCGAACGGTTCACCCAGAGGACCTGTTTTTTCCACTGTTTTTTACCTTCTCTGCAATTTGATTAAAAAACCCCTCTGAACGCATCCTTAAGGCCAATAAATGAAATACAGTCGGTGTCATCCTTTAAGCTGGAACCGCAGCAGTTCTGCCCAGTGAACTGTTCTCTCTCCGCGGTAGGTTCCCTGACACCAGCGCAGACCCGGGCGGCCCGGGCTCCTCTGGAACAGAGACTGAGCGTCCTGAGGGGCTCACCCCGCCGGGCCGCGCTGAGGGACCCTGAAGTAGCTGCCCGCCGCCGCCGCCACCGTCGGACACAAGCTCACCTGCTCTGCGGCGGGGCTGCCTTATTGCACAAAGGCTGGCTCTGGCTGTGACAGAAAACGCAGCTCAGAGGACGTTTCCCCCTCACGTACAAGGGATGATGGAAATAATGGTGAATGTTTATATTTTAATCAATTTATTACAGTAAAAGGCGGTGCCATGAATCCCTCTCACAACACACCCCCACTCCTCTCCAGAAACGCGCACCCATCCTCCTGGCCACTTTCTGCAGCAGCTCCGCAGTCCTCTCTCCTGAGTGTCTTTATGAGGTGTGATGAAAAATACGGTGACTGCTGCTGCTGATGCCACCCAACAGGAAGGCAGCTCGTAAGCACACGACGCTGCGTCCTCACCCACCTCAGTCACCGGGTCTGGCACCGTGTGACTTCCGCTCCTCCCCAGTCAAAATGATCATGAAAGGTGAACATTTCGAATGGCTTCAGGACACTGAGGCAGCCGGGACAGCACCACGAGACAGACCTGCAGAGCTGCCTGGAAGAGGCCAGGACGATGGGACGAGTGTGTTTGAAAAATTCACCCTATTTGTCAATCCCAACTCATCATGTGGGTCTTCCTCATTTTAACAGTAATACTTCTTCATTAAAGAAAGTGGAAAATCTAAAAAGGATGAAAAAGAAATCTAAAAGGATGAAATAACCACTAAAAATGTCACTTCTTAAAATATTAATATTTTTCCTTTTGAAATTTTTATTTATTTTGTTTTTTGAGACAGGGTCTCACTATGCAATTTAGGCTGGCCTTGAACTCACTATGTAGCTCAGGCTGGTTTCAAACTCACAATAATCCTCCTGCCTCAGCCCCCGAGTTGCTGGGATTACAGGCATGAGCTACCATGCCCAGCTACAGACTTTTCTCTTTGAAAGCAGAGAATTTTACTAAGAGAAGTAACAAAAGAAAACATGGATCAAATGAATTTGATATTTACTTATTTTCAGGATCACAGAAAATACTTCCTCTCCCCATTATGTATCACATAATTAAACAGTGAAAATGAAGCCATTCATATTTGTGTCTACTGAGACGAAACTGTCTACAAGGTAAAGTGGGCAGGGCATTCTCTAGCGGATCAGTGTCATCTCCCAGGTCACCCCAGATGACGCCATCCCTGGCTGCAGGCAGCCACAGACTGTTGAGGACATGCAACTCGTTCATCTCTTCAGTTTTTAAAATTCTTTTTCCTTCCCTACTTCTAGGATCACTCTGGGAAAAATTCCTATTCTGGAATAGTTAACATTGGTCTCTGGGGAAATGACGGCTCACACCAAGGATCAAGAACGTAAGAACAGGGCTGGACACAGGCAAGGCTCAGGGTAACAGTTACCGCAGTATGCTGATTTCCAAGGGAGACTTTGCACAGCACCATGCAGCCTTTTTGGCACATGAGGAAACTTCCCTAATGCTGGTAGCTGTGCTGCCTTAGGGAACAGCCATTTCCAGACCCGTGGGTCCAGATATGGAGTGACCCCCTGCTCATGATGGACATCCCCGGTTCTAAGCTTTCTCTCTTTTTCCTCAAGCCCCTCCTTCCCTGGCCCTGCTGCACATATCACTGTTCACCCCAGCACACCAGCCAAGTGACTTAACGTGCTCCATGACAGGGCAAGCAGGTTAATGTGCATCTTCAAAACACGCTCACTCTGGAGCCTTAGTGTGTCTACACCTCAGAAATACAGACCTGTATTTTCTTGTCATTTGCCTCCATTTTTGCCGTAAGAGCAGACAGTTTATGAGTCAGTTCTTCCCTTTCCGCCAGGTTTTTGTCCTCGGAGAGCTTCTGCAGCGCCTGCAGGGCGTCTTTGGTCCTCAGCAACTCGCTGTCGGTTTCTCTGAGTTTCTTGGAGACGGTTCTTTCCTTTTCCTGGGATTTCCTAAGGAGCTGCCTTAGATTCTTCACTTCATTCTGATGCTTAATCATAATCTGGGGTAAATTGCTTTGGGAGTTCTCATATTTTCCTATGGCCTTCAGGTGTCTGAACTGAAGTTGTTTCAGAAACTGGTTTTCTATGATGATGGCTTCCAGGTTGCGGTGGATGTCGGCCAGTTCGTTTTTCAGCTCTTTGATCTTGTGCAGCCGCGCGGAGAGGATGCGGTGGGCCATGGCGTCCCTCCTGTGCGCCACCAGGCTGAGCTGGGAGCGGAGGCACGACGTGTTCCAGGGGTGCTTCTTTTCAGCGGAGATGTCCTTCTGGCCTGTGCGGGCAGACAGGTGCGGTTACTGTAACACAGACAGATGCGCACCACGCACACGCCCCGTGCAACTCATGCACACACCCTTCACACACTCACACACATGCCCCGTGCAACTCACACACACACCCCATGCAACTCATGTACACATCTCTCACACACACATGCCCGTGCACACTGATGCACACACCCCTCGCACACACACACCCCCCCCGTGCAACTCATGCACATTCCCCTCGCACTCACCCACATGCCCCATGCAACTCAAGCACACACCCCTCGCACTCACATGCATGCCCCGTGCACACTCATTCACATGCAAATATGGAGTGAGAAAGAGCGGGCACTAAGGGAGTACCACGCGTCAAGCGGGGTTCTCTACACCCGGGTATCTCATGAATCCAGTTCTTTCAGGGCAAGTGTGGTCTGTTTTCTTTTTCTTTTTTTTTTCTTTTCTTTTTTTTCTTTTTTTTTGCAGTACCAGGGATCGAACTCAGGACCTTGCGATTGCCAGGCAGGCACTTATACCACTGAGCTATATCCCCAGCCCTTCTTTTTTTTTTCTTTTTTAAAATTTTCTTTTCTTTTTTGTGGCAGAGGGGCGGTACCAGGAATTGAACTCGGGACCTTGCGCTTGCCCTTGTGGTCTGTTTTATAGCTGGAGATTATAAGTCACTTGTCCAGGGTTATATAGCTACGAGGTGACACAGGACGGGCTGAAAGCCAGGGCTTCTTTCACTGGTACCTAGATTTCTATTATAAAGTGGTACTGAAGGGCTGGGGATGTAGCTCAGCTGCACAGAGCCTGCCTGGCAAGTGCCAGGTCCTGAGTTCAACTCCCAGTACCCCCAATAAACAAACAAACAAATACATAAATACAATGATACTAAAACCCAGGACACTGCAATTGCTAACACGAACAGTGCTTCTCATAGGTCAGCCACAGAACTGGACACTTTGCATCAAGTAGCTGATGCACTTCTTTCTGGTGTGGTGTGAGAACACAGCGTGAGGATCTCATTAAAAATCACCCGCAGAAAGCCATTAAACTCTTTAAAATATGTATATGAATATATATGTTCCATGTGCATAAATCCAACACCAGTTTTTTTCTTTGTTACTTTGGACACTAGTTGTTGGCATGTATTCAAATATACTTTTATTATTTATTTATTTAAAGGTAGGGTCTTGCCATGTAGTTCAACCTGGCCTTGAACTCACTTTGCAGCCCAGGCTGGCCTTGAACTCGCTGCAGTCCTCCTGCCTCAGCCTCCCGAGTGCTGGGATTACAGGCGTATGCCACGATGCCTGGCTTATTCATGTATTTTAAACAAAGAAATACCTGAAAAGTATTATACTCAGCACCAAGTTTTTCGCACTGAACTTGTGTTGTAAAGGTGTGTATAACATCGCTGTGTTTGTTGTCTCATTTTAAATGAAGCATACTGGTCCTTCAGAATGTCGCTTGTCCTGGGCACACAGCTAGATGTTGCAGAGACAGAATCCCGGGTCTGCGGCTTTCTTGTGACAGACACGTGCATGTATGTGTGCGTCCCTGCATGCCGAAATGTCTGGGTGCGTGGGTCCATGTTAGTACATCTAGGTTTTGAGAAAGACAGATTGAAAGTGGGTTCAGGATCTGTGGACTGGTTCTCATTCTGGAGAGAGACGGGTACTCAGCGGCTGTGCCCCGGTGTCCTCCTCCTCAGTGAGCGCCCACGTGTGGACAGGTCGCTCGGCGGGTCTGGTCCCCGCGGTGGGAAGGCCTTCTGCCTGTGGTGGACACTGAGCTTGCGGAAAGCAAGAGTGCACGGGGATAAGGCCCGGAGTCAGGGCCGCGCGGGCCGCCTGGTTCTGCAGCAGCCACAGCCTCAGCGGCGCGGTAGATGTGACGCCTTCCGGGACGCCGACCGGAAGGCTAGCGAGGTGGCTGCGCTGCGTGGAGGCCTGAGGTGGTAGCCCCGGGGCACCCACCAGGGAGGTCCCAGACGCAGTGTGGGTCAGGCGGGACTGAGACCAGGTGGGCAGGGGCTCACCTGTTCTGTGCCAGGGCCAGGGTGACTGAACCCGACCCCCACACCTTGTGGTGTCTTAACCCTCGGATGGTCTGAGTCTGAGATTAGAAGGACGCCTGGCAGACTCCGAGGGCAGTGGAGACCGTGTCCCCTTGCGTAGGTGACAGGCGAGCAGGGGAGGCAGGAGAGAGTGCCTGGGGACCAAACGCGGTGGCCCAGGAGGCGAGGTGTGCATGAGGGCAGGGGTGTTTTGAGAAGCGGACCCGAGGCTCTCCCCGCCCCCTGCACCCTTCCTGGCCCACCGCATCTGAGACTGAGTTCCGCTCTCCCCAGCAGGGGCGGGGGAGGGTAAGCAGACCTGCGTGCTTCAGAAGGTAGAGACGCCACTTGCACTGGGGGACACAGCACAAGCTCATGCCGCCCGCATCGCACGCCGGTGCTTGTGTAACCAGGGAGGTCGTGGGAAACGGCCGGGGTCAGTCCTTAACGGTTTCATGTCGTGATCCTTAACTGCACGTCACAGCGGTGGGACGCAGGTAATTGATAGTTTCCATCCCATTTCACACAATGGGGCAGGTTTAGCTGAATGATTAAACTACGCTTAAATGCCTCACTCTTAAACTGCGGACTTGAAACACTTGCTCAGATTAATTCACTATGAACGCATGCACTTAGCCACAGTACTTACAAAGGAGATGCGCGCTGTGAGTTCACTTCACCCAGCAGCGAGGCGGCACCCAGCTCCTCCCCAGCCCACGCCAGCCCGGCCCCTCCGTAACGCTCTGTGGCCGCCTCTGTCTTCTCGGCCCCGCTCTTCCTGCTGCTCCTTCCTGGCCTCTTCTCCTGACCCCGGTCGCTTTGGTCTCACTGTCCCACTCCCTTCTCTCTGTCCCCACGTTGGCTCTGCGCGTCTTCAGCTATGTTCTGAGTTGGGCGTTGGCCAGGTACTTCCCTCTCTTCTGGGTCTACACTTGCTTTGCTCTCAAAAGAGAGGAGCCCGCTTCCTCCTTGGGCCAGGGGAAGGAGGAGGTTGACAGGAAAGGCCTGTCCCAGTCTGTAGCCTGCAGTGTCCATGTCCCTTCGATGGAGACCACTATGAAGCAGCTCTGTGCAGGCTTTAAAATTAATCACCTGGCTTTCTGTGTTTACTTGTGAGTCTGTCCCCGGCCCAGGTCCCATGACTGGAGACGGGCAGCAGATTCATAGTAAGTGAACCTCTGTGAGTCTCTGGGCCCTGCTGAGGCCTGTAGTGGCCTGTGACGCCATGACTCCTCAAAGGACGAGATAAGGCCAGAGCTGAGGATGCCTGGCTCCAACCCCGACTGACTAGATAGAGACTGCAGCTGCAGGCGTCTCACACCTGCCATGAAGGTCATCCTGGAGATAAGGCAGTCTCCTCAGTAGCATAATTGACTACTTAGGGAAGTCTTCGGACTGACTCCCAAGGTCCTGCTCAGTTTCCCGAGCTTCCCTCAGTAGCCCCCTCTTTTGTTTGAAAACCAAATAAATACGGGCTGCCCAGGGAAGCTCTTTGTGTCAGCCCCCCAGAGAATCTTGAGCTCTGCTAGAGGGTTTTGTTCCTCCTGGAGCCTAAGCGCTTGTCTCTTTTACTTAAGCGTGCCTTGTCCACTCGTTTGGGAGGTCGCGGGCCTGATCTGTCCTCGATCCCCTGCTAGAGAAGGTGTTGCTGCCACACTACCTGGCCAAGGACAACAGGGCGGAAGGGGTCCCAAGAGGCCGAATGCGGTCGACCAAAGTTCTGAGTGACACCCATCTGTGCTGGCACTGTCTTGACAAAGACAACATCAAAGCACCCAATTTTCTGATGAACAGAGTACGTAACTGAAGAAATTCTGGAAGTACGTTTTCTACAAAAGAAGGAAAGACGTTCGAAAAGCAAACTGTGGAAATACATTACTTGCTCTCCACCAGGATTGAAGTCCATCTCTAGAGCTTGGCTAAATCAGAAATCCCATCAAGTTAACGTCTTCACTTCATTCTCTTGGTGTTTTTTCTATGAAAAGCTTTGCTGCCGTAAAATCTGCTCATCAAGTCTCTAAAATGAGATTAAAAGGAATCTCCGCAGTTCCTGCTCTCAGGTGAACGCGGGGTCCACACGGGAGGTTCGAACCTGGAGTGACCAGCCCCAGAGGTCAGAGCCTCTGTGTAACACCTCAGAGAGCTGAGCGGAACCGGGATCCCCGGAGAGTGCTGCTCCGGCGGGACGGACGGTGCCTCTTGGATTTGGGCAGAATCACACCACCCAAGGGCGGCAGGGCCTTGCTGTTTAGTGACTTTGGCAAACACAACTGCGTGGGAATGGAAGAGTGAGAGAAGCTGCCGAGCAGCGCTTATCATCCCAGGACAAAACTGAAAGCTTCCGTCTGTGTTTTTTTATAGAACCGAGTGAGCCGTGCACACAGGACTTCTTTGAGATGATTTCTGAGGATTGATGCGCAGCAGGGGCCCTGAGGACAGCTGAGCTCGCTCTCCCGGAGTCTGCTGCGAGACGACCCCTTTAACGCTCGGGCTGCTCCTGCATAGGGGCTTGGCGGGTATTTGTAGAAGAAATAAATCAGGAATCAATTTTTAAAAGCTAAATTATAAGGCACTCAGAGCTCAAAATGCAGTTGTTTCTTGTAGAGATAGTTTTATAAGTGCTAACTGCCTTCTTCCATAGTCATGTAAAAGCTTAGAACTGATGTAAAATGTGGCTTGTAGACCCACATCCTTGGGCCAGGCGGTTACACACTTTATTTTTTGAGAGCATGAGCACAAGAGAGAGGTCTTGCTATGTGGCCCAAGTTGGTCTTGAATTCCTGGGCTCAAGAAATCCTCTTGCCTCAGCCTCAGCCTCCCAAGATGCTAGCACCATAGGTATGCACAACTATACCTGGCCCTCAGAATTTTTTATTTTATGGAGATGTATCTATATATCTATATCTATGTCGCCATCTACATTTATATCTATGTAGTGTTCCATAGTTTTCCCAGTAGGGTCTAAGACAGCACCCTTTAACGAAAAAATATTTTTGTGGTGAAATATATAACTATTCACAGTAAGTAAAATAAATGAAGACCAGTCTCAGACCGATTTAAATCAGTGCCCCCCCCTCCCAGTCAACTTTGTGTGATCTCAGGACCTGACTGGATGCTATTGTGCTGAGATGGCCTCTTCCACACCCCCCGGACCTCTCTCACTGGGGTCAGCGAAGCACATGTTCGCCCTCTGCCTGTGATCACGCAGGTGGGTCGGAGCCCACTCCAGCCTCTCTAGAAAAGGGACTTTTAACCTTTTGGGAATCTGGCAACAGCTATGGGTCTTTTCTCTTAAAAAGGTTCACAAATGCACAGATACAGAAATGTAAAAAAAAAAAAAAAGCTGGGCGTGGTGGCGCACGTGTAATCCCAGCACTCCGGAGGCTGAGGCAGGAGGATTGCTGCAAGTTCAAGGGCAGCCTGGGCTATATAGTGAGACTCTGTCTCAAAAAGCAAAAATCAAATCAAATCAAATAAATAAAAGAAAATACATAAAATGTCATGGGGCCACAGACCCGTGTCTCAGGAGGAGCCCACTCAGTAGGTAAGGAGAAGGGGAGTGGCGTCTGGATGTCCCAGCAGCGGCACACAGCGGCACAGGGGCTCCTGGACCGCCTGGCACGGGGAGAAAGACACTGGGTGGATGTGACAGTGGTTAGCCCAACCCAGAGCAGGCTCTGGAACACGTCTCAGCTGCTGCCGAGGGGCTGAAGGTTGGGGTGGAGAGGGGTCCGGCCCGGTGGTGTGGAAGGAGAACGCATGGACATCCCGGGTGGAGGCCACTCTGGACAGAGCTGTGGAGCCGGCCCTTTGAACGGTCCACAAGGAAATAACATCCCTGAAGCCTTTTGCACCACCTGTGTTTCAAAAGGCCGCCTCTGCCTGCGTCTCACCCCTTGGGCAATCGGAGCAGGCATCTGCTTTCATGGGCACCTCAAGTCCCAGTTCCTGAGCTGAGACAGAGACAAAACCCCGGGCGGGGGTGGTCCGGCCCCAGGCTGCTCTGTAACTGCAAAGGCAGCCGCGCCAGGCCCCGGCTCCGTGGCAGGTCTTCCTGTCATTCTGCATTCATCCTTCATTTCTCTGTCCCCTAATTCCCCTAGTGCAAGCTCACTTACAGTGCATATTTGCAATACACAAAATCAACAAAACCAAGACCGTCTCAAGGCACCAGCACTGTATGTAACAGCCCCATGACCCCAGGAAGGAGCTTTGGCTGGGACGGTTTGCTTCTTACCCTTGGGCTGGGCGATTTTGGAAGCGTGGTACGTTTTCTTCTCTTTTACCACCCGCTGCTCTACGTAACTCCTGCTGGCGGCTGGGTCGGAGCACAGGGAGACGAAGTCTTCCGAGTAGTCGAAGTTAGAGTGCAGGCTCCCGCAGGAGCACTGGGACTGGCTGTAGTCCACGCTGCCGCTGGACAGCTTGCTGCTGGGGGGCCGGCCACCTGCACCCTGGCTGCTCCCGCCGGTCTCCAGGGCCACCCCGGCCACGGGCTCATTCTCATTCGTATGAGGTTTGGTTGTATCAGCCACAGACATAGCAAGCAACCTAATAAAAGAAAAGTGTTTTTAGTCGAGTGTGGTGGCCCCTAATGCCAATACATGGGAGGCCGAGGCAGGAGGATCACCTGGGCTACATAGTGAGTTCAAGGCCAGTATGGACTACATAGCAAGACCCCATCACAAACAAACATATCAAACAACCAAACCAACCAAACAAAAAACTCCCAAAAATATTTTTAAGTGAGTTCATGTTTAAGAATTTTTTTTAATTAGTCGATGTCTGTAGTACACAACGATCACATTCCTTGCGGGCACCGCTTTCCTCCCCTGCCTTCGTCATCTCTCAGCCTCCTTCTTATTTGCAAAAGATCCGTATCCCTGTTTCCTATTATGAAAAGTATTTCTGAATTTCCAGCTACTGACCTTACAGTGAACTTGTGCTGTATTACAGTTTCTTTGACTACAAGGACAATTAGGAAGGTGAAACTGCACATTGTCTTGAAGCATTTTCTGGAGGAATTTTGGTTTGGTTTTCACATTATTTCTACATGAAGTATAAGACCTCTGAGATCAACCTTTGATAATAATCACAAGTAAAAACAAGATAAAACCAGGCGCATGCCTGTGATCCCAGCACTCAGGAGGCAGAGGCAGGAGGATTGCTGTGAGTTCAGGGCCAGCCTGGGCTACATAGTGAGACCTGGCCTCAAAAACACAGAAAAAAAAAAAAAAAAAAAAAAAAAAAAAAAAGTCATATTAAATTGTAACATTGCAACAATTTATGCATTAGTGAATGGAGTTCTCAGTTCTAAAGGCTGGTTACTCCTTGGGAGAAATGAGTGTACCCGAGGTGTGGGCAGCTGGTGTGAAATGCAAGATTTGTGAAATGGACATACCGTGTATATTTGGAGATGTGCACTTTCATTTCCTAAGGATGAGGTCACATACTTTTGAGGTTAGACACAGAATACAGTGTAACTGATCTCTGAGTTTTAGAGAGCTGCTATTCTAAGATCAAAAGAAATAATAGTTCCTACTGATTATAAAACACAAGGGGACTGAGAAGTAATTCCGAGCATCGTGTGTATGTGCGTAGGCCACTCGTCCAGGGGCTGCAGCTTCCGTGAAGGAAATCTGCTGCACAGAAAATGACATTTCTTTAAGAAAGAGGCGACCAAACTTTCAGCTATACTAAAAACAAACTTTTATAAATGTCAGGCTTGGAAAAAAATCAAGACAAAGCTTTTCTCTAATATTATAGATTTAAGTATCAAGGTGAAAAATCAAAGTCATATCTGGGGGCTGAGTCATAGTAAAGCCATTTCTGGACTTCTGAGAAATACGTTTAGCAGCTAAGATGAAAATAAAACTTGATGGCAGGACCCCAATTTCTAATCAGGGGCGTAGGGTAGCACATAACTGAAGGTACTTGAAACCAAAGACTGCCTGAAAATGTAACTTAGTTAAGACCCACACGATATCAGCATCATACTTCTTTAATTGAGGCTGGATTTGTTTCAAATTGAGTATAATTGAAAGTAACTTGGGCTGGGGATTTAGCTCAGCGGCACAGTGCCTGCCTGGCAAGCGTGAGGTCATGAGTTCGATTCCCGGTACCGGAAAAAAAAAAAAGTAACTTAAATGTGTACTGTCGTTCTTTATAGATCAGAAATGTTTTAGCTCATCAGATTATTCCCCAAGCAACTTTCACTGGCTGCTTCCTAGTCTGGGAAAATAACTCCCCATTTTTTTTCTGCATAGGATTTTAAACTCAGTGAAGAAAATGGTGTATTTTTCTTCTACTTTATTTAAAATTATTTCTTGATATTAGTTGAGACAACAGTATGAAAGCACTGGTCAAACTAAACCATCCACGTGGCCAGTCAGGGCGGGTAAATGGCCATGTTTTTCTGTTCGTTCCACACAGATTCCCCGACAGGCGACCCTCCAGGTCTGCAGTTGTAGACGTGGCTTCTCATTTGATCTGAGGATGCCTTGGGAGAGAGGGTGACAGCAGCTGGTAAATGTACCCCTGACCTCCAAAGTTTCATAGGACAGTTTTATGGTGTCATTGCCAAATACAGTGAGTGTTAAACAGTTTAAAAATTGATTACAGTAGAAGACACATGGCCATACATCCTCAAAACTCTCCCCCGTATTTCCAGCACACGGTACTTATCCCACCATCCTTGCCCCTTTCTGCTGCAGCTCTGGAGTCCTCTTTCCTAAGTGTCTTTAGTTGCGCTGTCTTGGCTGCCTTGATGCCCTGAATCAATTTAAAACGTTTCCCTGTCATGGTCACTTTGACTTTGAGGAGGAGCCAGAAGTCACACGGTGCCAGATCCGGTGACTAAGATGGATGAGGGCGCTGTCGTGTTTTTATGATCCGCCTTTCCGTTGGATGACACTCGGCAGCAGCTGTTACCATACTTTTGATCACGCCTCAGAAAGACACTCAGGAAAGAGGACTTCAGGAACTGCAGAAAATGGCAAGAATGATAGGATGCATGTGTTCGAGGCAAGGGAGAGTATTCTGAGGGGGATGCAAGGCATGTGTCTTTTGCTGTAATAAAACTTTAAAAAAATTTAAACATCCGCCATACATTTTATTCACTCTTTGTATCTCTGACACAGCTCAAGACAGCTAACGGATAGTGGAGACCTTGTCCTTGATAGTTCAGAAATAATTCCAAAGGACACAAACTTCTGATACTTTCCATAAGCCCTCCTAGCTGTGGCAATTTAAAATGGAAGGGACAAGAAGTCACAAACAAGAAGGACCCTAAGCCGGGGGTGGTGGCACACGCCTGTGATTCCAGCACCCAGGAAGCTGAGGCAGGAGGACTGCTGTGAGTTTAAGGCTAGCCTGGGCTACATAGTGAGTTCAAGGCCAGCCTAAACTAAGTAGCAAGAGATGAGAGAGAGAGCGAGCGCACCTGAATATAAATACTTAATAGAACTAGTTAAAAAGCAGAGGGTTTGGCACTTCTACCTAATGCTACTGCATTAAAGCACACTAGGGTCACTTCCATAGCAGTCAGCTTCAATAGCAGACTGAAACAAATCCATCTCCAGTAGGTGGATTGAGAAGGATTATTTTTTCATTCGATTCTCAATTCTCTTATTTTACTGAGAAAGGAAAAGAGGAATTAGCTTGTATCAGACCCTTCCCAACAGGGCCGAATACCTCTCTACTGGGAGATGTGATTTCCCTAAATCAGTGTCTGGCTGCATCTGCCTTCTCCCGGGCTCCCCTGCGCTGTGTGATTCCTTACACAGCTCCTAACCTCCGGCGGGGAAGCCTCCCACCCAAGTGCTCTGATCAGTAATTTTACCACTGCGCTTAATGCTGACAGCTCCTGCGTGTAAGCTGTGCAAACCGCTTCCACCCCGCTGGATCCTTGCCCGCAGAGGCGGGCGGCTGAGACGGGACAAGGTTAAGGGACGTCCAGCTCTCCAGCCCCAGGGCGACTGCTTTTCTCATTCAGCGCCAAACCGAACATGTTCTCGAACTCCACATCGAGTGAGACAGCAAACCTTTTAAACCTCACAGAAAAGTGTGATTTCGTTCATGGTCAGGTCAGTTCAAGACCAGAGTCGTGGAACAAATTAAGCTCTTTGAACTGAGGCACCACCGTATTTCATATATTTTGATGGCAAATAGTATCACTGCTTTGAGTAGGATTTTAATTTCTGACTGCTGCTTGTATACAGACCTACAATTGACATATGATATTGATCTTGTATCCTGCAACCTTGATAAACTCACATATTAGATACGGGGGGAGAGAGGAGGGAGGAGAGAAGAGAGGAGACAGGCAGACAGAGATAGAGACAGATACAGGGACAAGGAGAGACAGGCAGAGAGAGACAGCGAAAGACAGGGACACGGAGACAGAGAGGGAGACACGGAGACAGAGACAGCGACAGAGAGACAGAGACAGAGAGACAGAGACAGAGAGAGGTGGGGAGACAGAGAGAGACAGAGAGAGAGGAGGGAAAGGGAGTCCTCGGGGCCCCGCGGGAGCGTCTGGCGGGAACACCGTCTTACCCCAGAGCACAGCACGAGGAGTGACACGGACAACAGACAGACGACACTTTACTGTCTGCCTCTGCCTCTCCTCTAGGAGCCGTCGGAACCCCGGGACTCAGGTCGTGATGTTCAGGGAGGAGCGGGGAGGCACCACCTGGACGACGACAGGGCTGCCGGGCTGGCTGCCCAGAGCGTTACACCTTACACCCGGGCGTGTGAGGAACGTGAGTTTATTTGTGCAAACACCGGTGCGTGAATCGCGCAGCACTCAGCTGTGGGTGGAGCTCCTGGCTCTGCTGTTGTTAAAGAGCAGGCTTTTATAGGATGGGTGAAGAAGCAGAGAAAAAGAAAATGCCTGACTGGTTACAGCTATACAGTTGCCTTCTTTGGATTATTCGGTGGCAAAGTTCCAGGCTATGCAATTAGATGCAGTTGGCAGTTCTGGAATTGGCTAAACTCAGGCTTCTTTTCCTTCTAAGTTGCCATTTATTGGAAACCAGTCTGGAGATGGTGCACACCTGTGATCCTAGCAATCAGGAGGCTGAGGCAGGAGAATCGCTGTGAGTTCGAGGCCAGCCTGGGCTGCATAGTGAAACTCTATCTTAAAAAGAAAAAAAAAAAAAAAAAATAGAACCCACTGAGCTGGCCAGGTGTGCACAGGCGGGAGCTCAGGGCCCAGGCACGTCGTGCACTGGCTGCTGCTGAGCCGCCGTGACAAGAGGCAGGAGAGCAGCGGGTGACCAGTGGATGTGCAGGGTCACTGAGACACGGGGAAATGGGGAAGCCAACAAGCGGCTCCCCCACATGCAGTCACTCTCCTCCCCTGCGGACGCCGCATCCCCGCATCCCAGGGACGAAGAAGGACGTGGAGGCCACACTAGCTCTGCTCCTCTGGGACTGCTGAAGGGGCGCGTGCTGGGCGTGGCAGGCCGCTCCTCAGGGACTTGACTTGGGGTGACGCGGATGTCCCGCCCCAGGTGAGTCACTGTACCCTCTTCCTCTGTTTGCTCACATGGGTGGAAGCCCCCGGCAACCAGGAAGCGGGCAGCGGGGAGGCTCGCAGGGCACGACACGGAGGCCCGGGCGACAGCCATAGAGAACGAGTCTGCGGCCTGGCAGCTGCGACCGTGAGACTGAGCTCGAAGCTCGGGTCCTCCGCCTCCACCAGGTGGTCTGTGATCCCTGCGGCCCAACCGCGCCTTGGCTGCTGCCTCCAGAGACTTCCGGACCACAGGGCCCTCCGCCTGTGGCCCAGGTCACCGTCACTGTCCAGCAGGGACACGTGTGTGACAACCAGTGACCCCTCCGTGTGAGCCACGCTGGCCCCAGGAAGTCACAGGGGCCACAGTGCTCTTGTGGAAAAAACGGAAGAAGTAGGGTTGTATGCTAAACAAAAAACAATTCATTTAGGTCAGGAGGTAGATTCTAGGATGTTTATTTACTTAATTTTGAAATAAGTACAATGTCATCTTTTCTCTACCTTCAATCTATTAATTACAATCAAATCATAAGCTCACAAACGTAATTTTTTGAGGAGTGGCCATTTTCTTTCTTTTTTGTGTTTTTGGTGTGTAACGCTGGGAATTGAACCACAGGCCTTTGCACGGAACTACATCCCCGGCCCCTTTTTATTTTTTATTTTGAGACAAGGTCTCACTCACTTGCTAAGTTGCCCAGGATGAACTTTAACTTATGATCCTCCGGCCTCAGCCTTCCAGAGTGCTGGGACTATGAGCATGCTCCACCACACTGAGCGCACTTTGTTTTAAACTGTTAAGTTTGAGGGTAATTACTATGCAGGCCTAGGGGATAAACTCAGATGGATCTTAGTAGCGTGGCTCAGTTTCCTGAAGAATTATGAATAGTCACTGGCCTCCGATGGTTCAACTTGCAATCTCTTGGCTTTGGGATGTTGTGTACGAGGTGCACATTCAGTGTGAACCGGACTTTGAATTTCCATCTTTTCCCAGGGGAGTGATATGCAGTGTGACACAACACCCTGGCACTGAGTAGCCAGCTGCAGCTCCCAGCCAGCCAAGCAGTCATGGCATAAGCAAAAGATATCCTAGAGCGTACAGTGTCACTGGCAGTTTTCTTCTTGGTGACAAGGATTCCATAAACTATATGACATAAGATAAGCTTATTAAAGTGCTTTATTATAAAACAGGCTTTGCGTTAGATGATTTTGCCTGTGTTGTTCAGGTTTCCTGCTGCTGGGACAAAATGCCCGCTGTACACAACTTAGAGGAGGAAATGGTTCATTTGGCTCACGACTTCGGAGGTTTCCGTCCATGGTGAGTTACCTAGTTTGGAGGCAGAAGCATCACGGATATGATGGAGCACAGCTGCTCACTTCATGGGGAAGCAGAGCAGAGGGAAGAGCACCAGCAAGACACACCCTCCCAAAGCCTCCCTCTCCCCATGGCCCACCTCGAGCTGGGCCCCACCTCCTCACAGCACATCCAGCTGTGACCATCAGTGGATTAATCCACTGATGCGAACAGCAACCCCATGATCCAATCACCTCTCCAGAGTTTCTCTGTCTTTTTTTGCAACACTGGGAGTTGAGTCCAGGGCTTCTGTGTTGAGGTATGCCACTATTCTTCTTCTACTTTTATTTTTTATTTCGAGACAGAGTCTTGCTAAATTGCTAAGTTGCCCAGACTGGGCTTGAACTTTCCATCCTCCTGCCTCGGCCTCCCAGGGTGCTGGGATTCCAGGTGTGTGCCATGATGCCTGGTTCCAGGCAAGTTGGCACTTAAGCCTGACCATCACACTGCCCAACTGTGGGCTCATGCAAGTGTTCTGAGCACACTGAAGGTAGGCAAGGGTCAGGCGAGACGTTCCGTAGGTTGAGTGAATTAAATGCATTTTTTGACAGTGGTTTATTGGAACCCAACTCTACTGTAACTTGAGGAACATTTGGACTTGACCTTAACATAAATTACAGCTGCCAAAGAGATGGAACATTCTTAGGATTCTGGAATTCCTGCAGTAGGACCTTAGGACTGTCCTGTAATTTCTACCTATGTGACCTAAATATGGGTCTCCTTGGGTTCACCCGGCACTGTGGCAGCTCTGGTCTTTCTCAGGAAACTGAGTGTGAGACACATTATCAGCCAACTGCAGTAAAACCAAGTTGGCTGTCACCAGCGCCAGCAGGGAGCTGTCCCCTGAATGTGTAGACCAAAGGTCTCTGTGGGAAATTCAGTCTATGATGTAGCTACCTTCTCACTCATCTACTGAACTTGGCTGATGACCACTAACAGGCCCAGTACTGCACTTTTAGGTCGACTCCACTGCTTTAGTGTCTCCGTGTTAGCATAAATAGGGTACCTTTTGTCATTATTATAAAAAATATACACAGTCTTCACTTCTACGGATTTCTGGTTATGTGGCACATAGTGGAAAATCTAGGCCTTGGGCCAACCACATAATGTTCCTCATTAATTAACTGATTAATTAAGAGGTTCAGTCAAAGAACATTTATTTAGTGCCTGCTAGGTACTGGGTTAGGAAGGCAAACCTATGTCTTAAGACTTTCAAAGCAGCAGCCAGTAACTATGTAATTAATGTCTACTCTAGTTAGCCCACCAGTTTTTACTGTATCAAATTTATGGTAGTACATAGAGTTTATAGATTCATTTTGGCAGTGTTTATCTTTTGAACAGTCAGCGCTGACATTGTAAAGGTGCTTATTTTATTCACCTGCCACATCATTTTATTCTGTCTCTATCATTACAGGGCTTGCAGTTGTTTCATCGCTGTTATGACCCAGGAGCACGATCCACCATGACCAACATGTTCTAATGGAAACGTTCCACCTGGTCCATCACGTGTTTTCTTGGAGTGCACCAAGAATAAATGTCTATATCGTGTTCATCTAATTTTTTTGAGACAGGATCTCGGTACATAGTTCAAGGTGGCCTCAAACTCACTATGTAGCCGGGTTGGCCTTGACCTTGTGGTGACCCTCCTGCCTCAGCCTCTTGAGTACTAGGATTACAGGCATGCACCACGTTCACCTAGTTATAGAATAAGAAATAAGGAGTTTGTAGACCAAGGTGAACATCTGAATTATTTTAAATACTACACTCTGTTGTCTTCAAGCCTGCTTTTGCAATAAGGCAAACACGAAATAGCTTATGCTAAAACGGGTTCTTTGGTACCTGCTGCTCCTTCAACTTCTCTAAGATGTTTGCAGAGAAACTCTGTTCTGAGCACAGGATCCTTTCCACCGTGGTGTTTATGAAGTTTCCAGGGTAGTATTTTTTGACATGTTTTGGTCCCTTTTTAAAGAAAGAATATATTTCAAAAAACCTAAAATGATATCACAAAAGGAAAACGTTACTGTCTAGCAGAGAAACATATTTACACAAGAGCAGAGGCTGTGACCCGGCACTGATTCACAACACATCCCTTTGCACTGCGGATCGAGGCACGCTTCACACACTAGGGCCTTCGCTCTATCAGCTACTGGTGGCTAACTGGGGAACTCCTGAATTATCCTCTGGGGATGCTGAAAGAAGATTTCAAGGAGTTACACGGTGTGGCGGTTTCAAAAATACTTCAGGCTGCACAAAAGGTCCTGTGCTTCACCTGCCTCTCCTTTCTCCACTGCAGAGCTGCATAGACACTGTGGCTCACATCTCACTTGTCTACAAAACAACAAAAGTAACCAATGGAAGACCTCACTGGCCCTGCTGGTGGCTACTAATCTTATTTTCAAGTACTGACATTGGCTGAAATTTTTTCTCTGGCCCCACAATCAGTCCTGTCACTTACCAGATTCTTGGCTATTATCACAACCAGAAAATTCTAATTGTTTTTTTTTAGAAAATCCTAATTCTTAAAGGTAAATACTGTATTCTGTAGTGAAGTTATAATGAACTCAAATGGACAATTTAGTTCAAATGGTAAAAACAGCGTTCCCCACCCTAAATTATTCTGTGGTTAAGCATGTAATTGTATCACCCTGTCCTGACTCATAAACAGTAACAGCTTAACACACACATTTTCCCTCTTTACTTACCCATAGTTTTTGGTTCTGTGGATTGAACCTAGGGCCTCACATGCTAGGGAAGCACTCCACCATAGAGCTGTCTCCCCAGCCCTTTTTATTGTTTTGAAACAGGGTCTCACTAAATTGCCCATGCTGGTTTCAAACTTTCGATTCTCCTGCTTCAGCCTCCTGTGTAGCTGGGATTACAGGTTTGTACCATGCATCTGGCGGCTTCTTCTTTTTTTTGGTACTGGGAATCAAACTCAGGACCTTGTGCTTTCTAGGCAGGTGCTTGTGCCACTGAGCTACATCCCTGGCCTGCATCTGGCCTCTTAACCATTCTTAACAATTCCTATTTGCTTTCATACTTTACTTGTTTGTATTGAAAAATGAGTAGGGGGGAAGATAAGAGAACTTGAAAAAGAATGATTCAGAAGGAGCCCTCATCAGATACTGAGATATAAAGCCACGGTCACTAAAGGAGGCGGATACTAGCACCTGAGTGCAGAGTAAGATGATAAATAGAGCTCAGAAACAAAGGTGGGAATAGATATGTAAGGAAACCACAGGCTGGACTCCCAATAGAAATGGAAAATGATTATTATGTGGATTAAAGATGTAAATGTTAAAAAAAACACCTTATGGAGCATGCCTGTAATCCCAGCACTCGGGAGGCGGAGGCACGAGGATCATTGAGAGTTCGAGACCAGCCTGGGCTGCAAAGTGAGCTCAAGGCCAGCCTGAACTGCATAGCGAGACGCTGTCTCAAAAAGACCACAAAAATAAAAAAGAAAAGAAAAACATCTTAAAAGAAGACATAAAATGTGCTAAGACATAAAGTCCAGACCATAATGGAAAGGACTGATAAAGATGAGTCCATAAACATTTAAAATTTCTATATAACAAATACAAAATACTATAAAGCAAAAAATACTACAAAATACTATAAAGCAAAAGAGCATGATACAAACTGCAGAAATTATTTTTAATATGATAAAGCACTAACGTCTTTAATTTATAAGTACTTAAAATGACGCATTAATACAACGAGCAAAGGGCGGGAACACACGGCAGACAAAGCAGACCTACGGACACCCAGGAAGAGCAGAGGAGATGTTCCAGCTCACCGTGAATGCCGAGCGAGGCGATCAGGGTCCGTATTTCATCGCTCGGCGCGGCAGAAGTTAAAGAGTCAGATGAGACACGCTTTAATTACGACTAATAGCAACAAGTGGTACTCAAGAGTTTCAGAGACAGAAGAATGAAGCGCATTTTTGTGTGTGGACAGACACACGGACAGATCTCTGAGAGCTGGTGTTTGTCAGTGGTGCTGAACTGAGGGCACTTGTGTTATCGTGTTTTTAAGACAAAAGATGTTAATGTAGATCTGCTTTTTCCGATCTAAGCCCTCAGTGCTCAGGTTTAATTGCAGTGCTGGCACTTTGTGATAAATAAGTGGGTTTTCGGTAGCCATGTGGGCACTCGTCTCTAAAAGGCTTGCATCACTGGTCTAGATGTTGCTCGTTACCCTTCCACAATGAGAGCAGTTAAAATCAATCTCCCACCAGGTGTGGTGGTGCACCCCTGTAATCCCAGCACTTGGGAGGCTGAGGCAGGAGGATCACTGGCCCACAAAGTGAGCTCAAGGCCAGCCTGAACTGCATAGCGAGACCCTGTCTAAAAAAGACCGAAAGAACATCAACAAAAAACTCTGTCTCTCTCAAATACCTCTCCCGAAGAAATCTCTCTCTCTCCTCTCTGTTTCTGCCTCCTTCTCTCTCCCTCTCTGTCTCTCTCTCTCTTTTCTTAGGAGCACTAGAGATTGAATCCGGGACCTTCACACTGAGCTATACTCCCTCTATTCTTTTCTTACATTTTATTTTGAGACAGGGTCTCCCTAAATATCTAAATTGCCTAGGCCAAGCTTGAACTTTCAATCCTCCTGCCTCGGCCTCCCAGAGTGCTGGAATTATAGGTGTGTGTCATCCAGTTGGGTTTACAATACCATTTTTTTTTTTTTTTTGGTTTTTCTCCGGTACCAGGAACCGAACTCACGACCTTGCGCTTGCCAGGCAGGCGCTTTTGCCGCTGAGCTAAATCCCCAGCCCCTACAATACCATTTTTAAGATGTAAGGCTTTCACTGGACACTGTGAGAGGCTGAAATCATGCCCCAAGGATGTCCGTGTCCGTGTCCTTGTCCCCAGAACCTGTGTTCCTATTGGAGCAAAATAGCCTCGGCAGCATCAGTCAGTTTCCAGAACTGGAGGTGGGAAGACCTTCCCAAATTATCCTGAATTATCATCCCTTTGGGCGTCATGGAGTGGCCTGGGCCTATGTACAAGGGATGAGGATGAGTCAGAGTTAGAAGGCCGAGTAAGGGAGGTAGCATCAGAGAGACAACACAACGGCCGGCTCCCAAGGCGGAAAGAGCGGTCTCAGGCTGGCGGACATGGGCTTTTCTAAAGTTCGCAAAAGAAAGGGAGGGGGCCCTCCCACGGCACCTCAGGAAGGACCCACCAGCATCTTGATGGCAGCCCTGGAAGATTCACTTCCGGCTTCTGACTGCACATCTGTACAACACATTTTTATTTTAAGCCACAGTTTGTGGTGATTTGTTATAGTAGCAAAAGGGAACTGAACAGCTACTCAGAAAAACATCACGGATTAAAACGAGACCAGAGGTAGGCTACTGAAGTATCAATTAAATGCACTATTAAAATTTCAAGAAGACAAAGAGGGTGGGTTCTAACGTAGTGGAAAGATTACCCTAATGCTTCTAGAATCTTCCCTGCTTTACCTCATCTGGGCTATAGCTAGGAAAATGCGACCAGCCCTGGAGGGAGGAGAGCCAGTCAGAGAAAACAGTGAGTCAAGAGCATTCAGGACGGAGATATTCTCTCACTCCCTCTTTCTCTCTCTCACATGCGTGTACACACGCACACCAGACCAGGAAGCAAGGGTGGAAGGTACCTGGAGGCTGGGGGTGGAGGGCAAGAAGGGTGACAGAGAGTGTCATGTAGTTAATGAGGCTGGGAAATTACTCACATGGAGGAAATGAAGGTAATCGAAGAAGTAAATATATTTAGAATTACGGGAGCCAAGCTTCTTAATGCCTCTGCCTGGAAGGATTTTTCTTACATCGGAAAAGGAGGAGAGAAGGGTCTTGGGCTCGGGGAGCACCGGACAGACTGCGTCAGGCGCACACGCAGGTGCAGATGTGTCAGCCGTGCACACGCAGGGACCCGTGCACGGCAGGTGTAGATAGCGCGCGTTTCCCCACCCTGCTTTCTGCACCACTGACACTGCAGTGACAGCGAACACACTGCGCCTCTTGTGCCTGAACACTGCTCTCCACAGCAAGGGGTCGGGGCTCCTTGGAAACCGAGACGGGGACCCCAGCCCGGGGCAGCACAGCACACAGCTGGGACATAGCAAGAGGCCCCGGAGGCGTCTTAAAGGAGCTCTCGCCGGCCAACTGCAGGACAATTCGAGCGTCACAGATATGCGGATGAAGGAGTCCGACTCACTGAATGAAACGGAGATCTCCCAGTCCATACTACCACGAAGGAATAAATGAGAAAAATGAGAAAAGAAGGACACGTGGAAACAAAGCTTTTGTAAATAAGAGGCGAAGAGGGGTTGAAGGGAGGGGAGGGGAAAGGGGAAAGAAACATATATCATGCACAGATACAAAGTCCCCACCATGAATGTGATCATTACGTAGACCTCAAATGTAACAATAAACCTAATTAAAAACAAAGAGAAAAATGAATACATGAGGATGAAGAGAAAACGCATGAATAAACCAATACATGTGCGGGAGTGGTGGAAGTGTAATAAGGAATAAACACACTCCGCAGAGGACGCTGAGAAAGGTGGTTGTCAGTGGATGCCAACCGTCAGGGAACGGTCGTGGCTAAGGGGCGGGCTTTGACACAATACCAGAGTATGTCTCCTCCAAATACTAACAAAGACAAAATGGGACTTTGGAGGAACAGGGAGTCAAGGCCCCATCGTCACAGCTGGGGCACAGGCGGACATGGGTGTGCCTGCGAATGAGCTCAGGGAAGTATCAGCCAGACCCAAGTGTAGCATCTTCCTACAGGAAGCTCCGAGCCCCTGACAAACACAAGCTCCTCGACGCAGAGTTAGGCAGAATGAACGGAGCAGAAATGCCCTGGCCACAGCCTGTGGATGGTGGTGTTACCTACCGAGATGAGCAGTGTCTGGGGGCCTTTAAGATACTATTCCAAACACTTCATGTACTCTGAAGAGCAGGTGCCCCAATCTTCTGCTTCAGAAATCTGGTCACTCTAAACATGGATGGAAGTCACGGGCTGACATTGATTAAGGAGACAGGCAGCAGGTTATGAAAGGAAAGACACTGTGATGCAAGATCGTGGGTTCTAGTCCCAGCTCTGCCAACGGAACTAGCTTTCTGTTCTAAACTGCGCAAGACAAGGAATGAGCTCGTTTCTCAGTGATGCCCAAGGCCCAGTCTAGCATAAAACCCACACATGACTCAATCGAGCAGTCAATCTGTCTATAGTAGAAATTTCAAGATTTGAGAACATGAAAATGTATCACGTTCAACCTTTGCATGGTTATGGGTTATGGCCTAGCTATGTGGGCTTTGGTCACTGAATAATTTTAGACATTTTACTTCTTTCTGACAACCAGCTTGAGTTAGCAGAGGACACAGTAAAGCAGCGCCTTCAGGGGAAGGGACTGTGTCTCTCTACTGCCACCACGCAATGGCAAGTGCAACGGCTTATATTTGGTAAATGAAAAATTTAGCGCAGGTTCTAGGAAGAACTTTAAATCAGGATAGAGGGACCTATTTTTAGCTCCCTACTACATTTAAAAAAAAACTTTCAGTGTTTACGTGATTTCTTTTTACTAGAACTTTCATTCTATTTCATTAAAACTGTACTAAAACATCTGACATCTATTATCTGTTACACATTAAATGTTCATTTCATTCATTCTTTCAACACACTGTTTGAGGTGCAGGGCTATAATGGTGAGCAACACAAAGCTTTCTGCTTTGGAGACACTTATGTGTTGGTAATATGCTTATCACAACAGTGACTGATCTACGTGTTTGGAACTGGGGGCCTTGGGGATGCAAGAAGCCACCCCTGTAGAGAGGTACTGTCCAGCAGAGATAAGCAGGTCAGTGGTACAGGGCAGGAAGGAGGAGAGGAGGGACAGGAGGAAAAATCACAGCAGACACAGGGCACAGAAGACCCATGTGGCTGAAGCTGTGACAAGGGCCAGCAGTTTCAGAAGGCTGAATGGAGGCATGCTAGCTGGATCTGGAAGTCCCAAAGGCCCACAGTCCCCCACCCATGGCTATGGGAAGTGGTGGAACCTTCAAGACGTGGGGCTGGCAGGAGGAGTTTAGGCCTTTCGGGGGCGTGGCCTGGAAGGGGATTGTAGGGATTTGGTATTTATTCTTTCAATTCCCAGCTGTGAGGTGAGTGGCCTATCTTCCTCTGAGGCCTCCACCGTGATGTGCTGCCTACCACAGGCCAAAAAGTAACAACCGACTAGTCTTGGACTGGATCCTCCAAATTCTGGGCCAGAATAACCCTTTTTTCTACGTTGCTCATAATAATTTGTTACAATAGTCATGCAAAGGTGTCTAACACGAGGCATGGACTAAGGTAGTGACATTGACGACCTGGGAGGATGCTCTGGCGACAACATCCCTGTGGCTGGCGGCTGCACCGGATGTTGGGGTGTGGTGAGGAGGAAGAACCCTAGTTTGCGATGGCAGAGGGGCCAGCTGGGACTGGGTGGTGGGACGCTCTTACGCTTGATGAGCTGGAGGTGTCCAGGTGACACTAAGAAGCAATGCCACTCAGCTAGTTGGACATATAGGTCCCGCCGAGGGACACAGCCGGGAGTCAAGAATGACTGAACAAGATGGGCCTGGGAACGTCCGACGGGCGGTTTCTGCTTTAGACACAGACGGGGCTGGAAGTAGACAAGAGCGGGCGGAGGACTGAGGAACAAGGGGAACTGAATACGGGGATTCTGCACAAGTCTGGCACGTCCCGGGGATGTGGGACGGGACAGACTGGAACCTGCAGGCGAGTGTGGGGTCGAGGGAGGTTTGTTTTTGTCTTCTGCGATGGAACACTGGACACTGTAAACGCCACGGCAGAGCCAGCTGAGATGGACCAGGAGAGAATGGACACCTGGCAACACAGGATGCCCGACCAGTGGAACGAGCGGAAATCATGGACAGGGGTAGGGAGACAAAATGGGCCAGCTTTACAGTTCTGGTAGCTGGAGACTGAGGGTTTTCCCATCTGACAGCTTTGTTGCTCTGTAAAGTGAGAGCAGAGCAGGGCATGGTGGGGAGATCATCAAACGGAAGTGGCGGTTTATGATCTGCAGCTGCCTCTAGGCCCTCAGCAAACCTTAGCAATCTGACTCCGTTACTTTGGTGAAACGGGGTTTTGCTGGATGGAAAATAAGTAGGAGCTGGTTTTAGAGCCCGACTAGCGGCTGTCCGTTCTCTGAAGGTAGAGACTTGTTACACCCGACTAGCGGCTGTCCGTTCTCTGAAGGTGGAGACTTGTTACACGCACCACCGTGTCGGTGTGACAGCACTCAGGTACTTACTATCGAAATCAAGACCACAGGGATGGTAATTTGTCTCCATTGCAGTTAGCCTCTTTCGGGGCTTCTCTACAGAGAGCAGGGAACAACGCTTCAATTCCTACACGACGCCCCTTCCTCACCTGGATACTTCTGTTCTTCAGTACAGTCTATTTGAAAAGGTCCTAGTTCTGTTCCAGGGACACTGTCAGATTTAGACCTAGGAAAGCTGAAGGGCAGCTGGGTACGGTGCTGCATGTCTGTAATCCCAGCAGTCTGGGAGGCTGAGGCAGGAGGATTGAAAGTGAATCCCTCCCGGGCAATTTAATGAGACCCTGTCTCTGAAATAAAGGGGAGGTCTGGGGCGGGTGTAGTTCAGTCACAGAGGACCCCTGGGCTCCATTTCCTGGCATGCAACCCCTGCAAAAGGGAAATAAAGCTAAAAGACGTCTCTCAGTTTGTAGCTTGGTAACAGTAAGGACTTAGTTTTGTCTACTTGGTTTAAAAGCTGAAATTCTCAAAATGTGTACTACACTCTATTTATGGGAAGCACAACGTTCATATTGTCCTTTTAAAACCTATTCATATGAAATAACAGAAAAGGAGAAATCAGCTCCCACTGTGCTCAAGTGGGAGGAGGGCAGACACAAGGGGCCCAGTGAGGTCACTGACATAACACAGGCACCCGGCGGTGGCGACCTGGAAGCGGCCGCTGACCAGAACTGTGACTGTTCTGCGCACATTTGAAGCTATGCCGACAGAGTCGAGGTAGGCACCGAGGCCTGGGCAACTGGAAGAAGGGACTGCAGTACCTGGGGTGGGCTACGAGGTTGCGGGGTCATGGGGCTTTGCCGGAAGCATCGCCTCTGGGGCGCCCAGGACACCTAAGCAGGGGCGCGGCAGGCTGCTGGGTCCCGGATGTGGCGTTCGGAGGCGGGGCCAGGGGCCGACAGAGACATCTGGGGCTCGTGACATTTAGATGGAAGAGTCCAGGAGACTGGATGCATCCCTCTAGCCCGCAAACAGGCTCAAGGTCACGTTCACCCAGGAAAGCTGGCCTCAAGAGTTAAGTGTGGTAGGGGCTGGAGATTTAGCTCAGCGGCACAGCGCCTGCCTGGCAAGCGCAAGGTCGTGAGTTCGATGCCCAGTACCGGCAAAAAAAAAAAGAAAAAAAGTTAAGTGTGGCGGTAACGAAATGTTAAAGCACCAAGGGGAAAATGGATAAAGAGCGCCAAGGCCGAGCGGGTGGAGGTAAAATAACATTTCAAAAGCTTTCGATTCCCACGGGCTGGGGACGGGAACATAACGGCGCTGAAGTCAGAAGGGAAAATTAGACCAAAGCCAAACAGCAAGCCGGAGTGAGATTCGACGGAAACGCAGCCGGCCGCCGTCGGAGGGCGTCCCTCGCCGTCCCGGGCCTGCCCGCCGCCCCAGGGGTTCAGCTGCCGGGTCGGACCGGGCGCCGAGAGGGTGTCGTCCCGCCCGGCCGCCACTCCTGGGCAGGAGCGGACCCTGGCGGGCAGCGCTTTGCAGAAGGGGACGGCGGGCGCCTGGCTACGTTACCAGCAGGCACAGCAGGTCCCCGGGCTGAGGGACCGCGCAACGCCGGGAGCCCAGAAAGACTCTAGCAGGAGGCCTCTGCGAAGCTGGAGCGCAGGGACCATACAAGAGCAACAGCGGCGGGGCAGTTACCTGCTCCGCGCTGCTCCTGCGGCTGCGCCAAACCCAGGCCTTCCGGCGTGGGTCCGTCGCTATGGAAGTCGCGCGCGGAGCCTCTCGGGATGGCGGGTGGGCGGGTCATGCTCATGCGCACTGCGGCCCGCAGGCGCGACGGCGGGGGGCGGGTACAAGGAGGGGCTGCGAGGCGGGGCAGTGGGCGTTGACGCGTTTCACCTGGGCTCGCAGTGTGCTCAGATGTGTAGGAAGCAGCAGGGTGCACGGACCTGGTGGGAAGAGCGAGTAGAGTACCCACATCTGATCACCACACCGTGCATGTTAGGTGTGGGGATTTACAGCCGAGGATAAAACCGATGATGATGGAATTGTAGATGATTTTTAATGACTGCCTGTTTTATTGTCAAAAGTTGGCATCTTGTATTCACTCCCTTGTTATTAAGAAGGGTAGACTTTTTTGGATATCTCTGGTGGCCATTATAATCTTGTGATTTGCCTTTTCCTGCCCCGAACCCCTTTTTTTGTCTGAGTCTCGCTATGTTTTCCAGGCTGGCCTAGAACTCCTGAACTCAATTGGTCCTCCTGCCTCAGCTTCCTGAGTAGCTGGGGCTACAGGCACGGGCCATCATACCTAGCCCTTTTTCCCATTTTTGAACTTGATGTCCCATCTTTATAAATATTTATGTGGAAGAACTTTTGATGTATGAAAACTTGGTCTTTGACATCTGTTGCAATACTTCCCCCAGTTTGTCAGTTACCTTTTATTTATAATGTATCTGGGTGTTACTGTAGACTAAGTTGATCACACCGGGTGTGGTGGCGCATGCCTGTGACCCCAGCATTCGGGAGGCTGAGGCAGGAGGATCGCTGCGGGTTTGCAGTCAGCCTGGACTACATAGTTTAAAGGCAGCCTGAGCTACATAGCCAGACCCTGTCTCAAGCAAAAGGCAGTTGGTCACACTTTAAGATTTTTGCTTGCTATGTGAGAAACGGTAGGTACTCCGTTTAATTCTACCTTGGTAGAGGACAGTCAAAGCTTCCCCTCCACATCACCAACCCTTCACCTGGCGGCTGTTCGAGTGCCCACCTTCTATTTTGGAGGGCCACACATGGTTACTGTGAGGCTCCACCAGGACCTGACTCTCCCAGCCCCCAACCTGCCTGCCAGCAGAAGCACTACTTTCTGCAGGGAACCGAGTCTGTCATCAGCAAGCGCAGGATGTTGTGGAGGAGATCAGTTAGGACATGGAATTTTAAGGTCCTGGGAACAACTGGAGCCACCGAAAGATTTACACCAGACCTTCAAGGACCCTGTCCACTGAGGTGCAAGGTGGCCAGAGAACTTTGACCATAGATGTTTATTAAAATCTTCCCACCTAATGTCCCCTGTCTTCTTTCCATCCATGTAAAAGGGACACATTTCTCTTCGGAGCACATAGCTTTATTGCTCTCTGCCTGCCTGCACAGGGGTATTAAACCATACGCCTATTTGCTATCACAAAAGCCTGTTGTGTGGTCTCTTGCCCTGCGTTCCTTAGCTATTTTTGGGTGGTGGCGGTCATGGCCTTAAGTAGACAGACTCAAATGTCACCCTAGACTTGACAGTCGCGGAGAGGTGGCTGGTGGGACCCCAGGGACACTGTCCAGGTGACAGTTTGTTACTAAGGGAATAAGCAACCCTGGTGCTCGGGACTGGAGGGTGTGAAAGATGGAGGTTGATTTCCTACCTGCATGGTTTCCTCTTTGCTACTACCTGCCCACGGCCCCAGCCCCTCCGTCTCAAAGTGTGTAGATTTCATTTCTGCTTGTGTGGGGATGGTCTCTGTGTGTTGTGGAAGAGGAGCGGGCCCTTCAGCCCATGGCTGGAGCAGCAGCCTTGTGGGTATTTTGGAGCTCATTGGCACCTTGCCACATAAGAAAGTGCAGCCTCACTCCTGTGTTAGTTTCCTAGGGATGGTGTAATTTATCACAAGTTGGGTGTCTTAGAACAACACAGGTTTATAATCTCACAGTTCTGGACGTGAGAAGTATCCGTCAAGGTGTGGAGAGGCCACACTCGGACGGCTCTTAGGGGGACTTCTCTCCTCTTCTCTCCTCTGGCAGCTCCTGTCTCTGCCTCCCTCATCCCCTTTGTGTGTCTTTTATTTGCACTGATGGGATTGAGCTTGGGCTCAATCCCATGGGATTGCCTTGTGCATGCTGGGCAAGCCCTGTACCACTAGTTGCTATCACAAAAAAACCCCAAAAAACAAAAACCAAAAAACTAGTTGCATTTCTAGCCTTTATTTTATTTTATTTTATTTTATTTTATTTTATTTTATTTTATTTTATTTTGATTCAGAGTGTCCTTAAGTTGCCCATACTGGCCTCTAACTTGTGAACCTGCTGCCTCAGGCTGCTGAGTTGGGGAGGGGGGCGGGTAACAGGCACGTGGCACTGCCTGTGGTGGCTTCTTATGAGGACACCTGTCAGTGGATTCAGAGCCTGCCCTTAAACCAGAATGATTTCACTGCAACGTCGCTAATTACATCTGCAAAGACCTTGTTTTCAAATAGGGTTACATGTGGGGGTTTTGGTTCAACACCAATTTTGGGGAATATTATTCAACCCAGTACAGTTTTTATGTTAATCTCTTTCATCATCCCACATACTAAGAACATGTGGTTTTGTCATTTTAGGTTATCCATCAGGTTATGTAGATCAGAATGTAACATCTGGCTGGGCGTGGTGGAACATGCCTGTAATCCCAGCACTTGGGAGGCTGAGGCAGGAGGCTTACTGTGAGTTTGAGGCCAGCCCGGGCTACAAAGGGAGTTCAAGGCCAGTGTGAACTACACAGACTACACAGTCTGAACTACGCTGTCTCAGAAAGACAAAAAAAGTAACATCTGATGTCATTTATCATATCATTTGAGAAGCTCTGTGAAGTTTGTAGACAATACCTTACAATTTATAGTCAAGGTGAAGTTCAATCAAAAAGCGTTCTTGAGCTGTCACAGCATGCGCTGGAGATGTTTTAACGGCTCAGTCCCATGTGTTTACCAGATGGACGAAATCTTTCTGGAGTGGGCCGTGTAAATTGGAGATTTATTAGCTCCATTTTAAGGAATGTTTGGAATTCCCATTAATTGTCTTAAAGCTCATGGGTGTCTCAGGGATCTTTCAGGAAGTTCCCAATTTCCTAATTTGGTCTTCTTTTTTTTTTTTTTGAGACAGGGTCTCGCTATGCAGTTCAGGCTGGCCTTGAGCTCACTTTATAGCCCAGGCTGGTCTCGAACTTGCAGCGATCCTCTTGTCTCAGCTTCCTGAGTGCTGGGATTACAGGCGTGCACCACCACGCCCGGCCTTCACGGTCATTTTAAAAGGATGAGTTTGTTAAAGATGATTCATTATGAAGGAAGGGAGCACTAAGACCACGCGGGCAGCACCTCAGGGACTTCTCTGGTGCAGTGTGGAAAGAATGGGCCTGGGTTCGAGCCTTAGCTGCACTGTTTACTGTTCGCAGCACCTCTAAATCTGTGCTGTCAGTGTGAGGAGAACAGTGGAAGCCAGATTTAGGGCTCACGGGTGTGGTTTATCCAAAGTACCCGCAGCAGATTTCGCACATGAGACAGGGTCTGGCCATGTAGTTCAGGCTGGCCTCAAACTCACTACGTAGCCCAGGCTGGCCTCAGCCTCCCATGTGCTGGAATTCCAGGCATGCGCCACCATCTGCAGCCTCCACCCGCAGCCTCCACCCTTTATTTTTTATTCTGAGACAGAATTTCCTTAAATCGCTGATTGCCCAGGCCGGGCTCACACTTGTAATCTTTCTGCCTCAGCCTCCAGGCGTGATGGGCTCGCAGGTGTGGGCCACCATACCAGCTTTCATATGGAAGACTTACAGGCGTGAACATATGTAATATTATTTTGTGTGGAAAATATAGTATGCGTTGTAGAAATGTTGAAAATAGAGAAAAGAATAAATATAAAAGTGACCCGTAATCTTCAGTGGACTTTAAAGTAAAATTGAACTTCGAGAGATTTGGGTGAGGAGAACCCACTGACCGACCACCTTCACTAACTACCTCATTGGGAGGAGGCTGACCTTATACGTTGAAGCTAAGAATGAGATTTTGGTAGAATCATTTCCAGGGTGTGGTGTGAGGTGAGTGAGTTTGAGCCGGGTGCCAGGGACACCAGGGCCCCGGGCCTCTCAGGCATCTGCCTCAGGGGGTGGGTGGGGCGGGCCTGTGGGATCCCAGACCCTGGTGAAGGGGCCGGTACAGAGAAGCCAAGGCGGTCCCTCCCTGATCCAGGAAGCCCATGCCGCTTTCTCCGTTATGAGTGCCAGGGGACCTTAAAAAAAAGAGGGAAGCCAGGCGTGGTGGTGCGGGATTGTAATCCCAGCACTTGGGAGGCTGAGGCAGGAAGATGGCTGTGAGTTTGAGGCCAGCCTGGGCTACACAGTGAGTTCAAGGCTGGTCTGAACTACATAGCCGAGACCCTGTTTCAAAACAAACAAAACCCAAACCCCCCAAAACCCGGGTGTGGGGCACCTCCTTGAAAGACTAGACCTTTGTCCCTAGTGCCCTTGATCTTGATTTTGAGCAGCTCACATTTGGGGTTCTTCGCTGTGCTTTTGTATTTTTCTGACTTTAAACTTGGTTGGAATCTCCCAGGGCAGTGAGGCGGGCTGGGGCCTGCCGTGAACGGATCAGTTGTTGTATTTTGACCCCACATGTTTGACGGTACCGTGCCTGCTCCTGTGTCCCTGCCCCCCGGGGATGTCCCTGAGCCCTTACGAGGCCCAACAGGTGGTGACAGCTACGGAGAGGCCGCTCCGAGAGGAATTCTATCGTAAGACAGCTTCTTCAAACTTTTACAGTCTGCCAGAGAAATGTAAAACAAGGAAGCTGCTCTTGGTTCCTAGGCCCCCGGGGCTTCTCTGACCCTTCAGATCCGTTCGCCAGGAGCCGCAGCCCAGGCCCGCCCTGCGCCCAGTACTTTTCTGGGCCCCCCTTTCCCCTGGGGTCCCTGGCCCCGCCCCTTCCGCACCCAGGCCTCTGATTGGTCTGCTGCAAAGCCTGGCCTTTTAGGGACTGTTGTCAGGCGTTTAAAGTGACATGGGAAAGGGTCCAGCAGCTGCTTTTATCAGCCAATCAAATATTTCCCTGACAGATCCCCAAATATTCCTGGGCCAATGGAGAGGGGAGCCCGGGCTGCCCCTGTGCCTGGGCGCTCGCCAGCTGGCACCCGGCACCCGGCACCCGCTGCTCCGGTCCCCGTCAGGATTTGTCGAGCGACGCGTTCCCGCCGGGGGTGTGTTAGGGGGAGCCCTCTTTCCGACCCTCGACATGGTTATCAAAGTGTTTGTGGCCACATCTTCTGGGTCCATAGCGGTAGGTGTCGGGGGCACCCGCTGTGTTCTGGGGAGCTCAGAGCTGGAAGGAGGAGGCTTGGCCTTCAGTGCCTTTGGCGTGTGCGCCCCTGGCCTGCTGAGTTTGTTTGCACGGTGTGGAGCAAAGTGTGTAAAAAATGTGCAGTCAGGACAGGTGGATGCGAAGGCGGATTCGAGGCAGCAGGCGTGTTTGAGGATGGAGTTTGTAGCGTGGGATTCGCATCGCCTCGCCGTTGCTTGTACATCTTGTAGAACTGCAGACTTTCTTGGAGTAGCGTTTCTGCCATTCATTCTGCAAGACTTCGACTGATTTAAAGTGGGTGGAGGGGGTGGGGAAGGGGAGGAAAAAGAAGCGAGCTGCGTTATACACACGCACCAGCTCCCCAGGCTGAGTGTAATCGTCGCGGACTGCAACACTTGCTAATAAAAGTTTTGTTTTTAATTTTAAAAAGTTGGAAACAAGAGATGCGTGGCATCCTTGGGTTTGGAGGGAGCGGCGAGAGAGAGAGTGCTAGGATGACTCGGTGTGAAGTTATGTGCGCGCGAACCGCCGCGGTGGAGCAGCAAGTGTGTAGTCGCCGAGCGTAATACGATTATTTGAGGGGAATGATGTCACAGTGACAGAAGTAAGTGACGCTGAGGTCATAGTTTTAGACTTTAGGAATCCAGACAACAGCCCAAAAATAGGAAGTTAGAGCCAACCAACCTCTGCCACGCAGCCTGGCCTCTCTCCTGTGAAGAGCAGACCTGCCTTTGGAAAGGGGGTGGCGTTTCTCCTCCTTCCTAGGAAGCGCTGCAGGCTTCGATTTTAAGCTGCAGCTGTAGTGTCTGTCTAGGGCTGTTTTTGTGTTGTTTTGTTTTGAGACTATGTACCCCAGGTTGGCCTCGAACTCACAGTGATCCTCCAGCCTCAGCCTGCCGAGTGCTGGGATTACAGGTGTGCACCACCACCCTTGGCTAGAACTTGTGCTTTGATTAACTTGTTACCAGAAGCAGGAAAGCCATGGATAGAAAACCTCTTATTCATCTCAAGAGCCGAGGAGGGCTGTTTCTTTTTACATCTAGTTCCTGGGGGGATCTCAGGTTTCAGCTCAGGTTTCCACAGTTGCTGGGCAGACTGAAGGGCTTCCACAGAGGGGCCAAAAAAAAAAAAAAAAAAAAAAAGAAAAAATACAAGAGGAAAGGACCTGTGATGCTGTGAGATCAGGTTTTAAGCAGAAAAAGAGAAGCAGCACTTCAAAGGCAGAATTCCAGATGTGAAAACCTTTCTGCCCTTTAGGTGGAACCATAAAGAATACATTTGGTCTGTTAACTTCTGTCACGCTGAGATCGAACCCGGGGCCTTGCGTGTGCCGGGCAAGTGCTCCATCCCTGAACTGCGTTCCCGCCTAGGACCACATTAATGAGAGCACAAAATATCGTTTTGAGGGAAATGGTTTCGTTAGGCTTTAAATATGTTCCCGCTCAGTATGGAAAACTACCACTTTTTTCTGTATGTTCTGCAGATTGGGTCTGTGTGATTTGGCTCTTCACATGGCAAGGAATACATACATAGATTCCTTAGGTTTCTTTGATATCTCACATTCATGAAGTTTGGAAGCATTATTTTATTATTTATTTAGAAACAGGCTTTTTCACTCTGTAGCCCAGGCTGGCCTCGAACTCCCGGCGATCCTGCTGCCTCAGCCTCCTGAGTGCTGGAATGACAGGTGTGCAACCCCAAGCCTGGCTCTGGGAGCATCCTTGACTTAGCATTGGAGGAGCTGGAGGGGCACCACTCATCCCAGGGTCTCAGGAAAGCTGGGTCCACTGGGACACCAAGGCAAATGTTTCAGTGCCACTATAACCGTGTGACCTTGGGAAGGTATTTCACCTTTCAGGCCTCAATTGCCTAGTCTGTAAAATGAGGATAAGAATAGCACCCACCTCACAGAGCTGTCATGAAGACTTCTGAAATATCAAGCCCAGGGGCCTGGTAGGGGGGTCAGGCGCCCGATCAGTGCTCCAAAGGCATTGTGACTGTCAGTGACCGTTCTCCTGATCAGCTGCTATTAGGTAGCGTTGACTGCTGCCATCATTTTGGTAACAATGCTAGTTGGCACTGCGGTTGTTATAATGATCAGTCAGTGTTAATCATGATCCAGTATTGTTTCGTAGAGCTGTGCCTATGATCACTGTGAGTCAGAACTGTGCAAACGACTCCGTGTCTTACTGAACAGAGATCTCAGTATCCCAGTGTCTGTGCTGATGGCTTTGGTGGTGGTGCGGATTTTCCCCCAAACCTGGGCAGAAAAATCTCACTGCTCACGCTGCTTGTGTGGTGGGTGGTTGGCAAAGCCCTTGCTACTTCTTTATTTATTTATAATTTGTTTGTTTGTTTGTTTATTTATTTATTGAGACAGGGTCTTGCTATGTAGCTCAGGCTGGCCTTGGACTCACAGTGATCCTCCTGCCTCAGCCTCCTGAGGGCTGGGATTTCAGGCGTGTACCACCAGGCCCAGCTGTTTTTTTTTTTTTTTTTTCTTTGAGACAGGGTTGCAGTGTGTAGTTTAGGCTGGTCTTGAACTCACTATGGATGAGCGAAATAGATGAGAAAGCAGCCACATACTGTCATCTCCAAGAGCAGCTGATCCCCTCAGCGGCGCATTAGAGCTCTATTTTAACAGCTGACTCTAAAAAACTGTGAAGCAGTTTACCACGCTCCAGAGGGGTTTGGGTTGAGGTGCCCTGTGAGCAGAAGGTGACTGTCTTTTCATATAATCCAGAAGCCCAGTGCCACAGTGGGCGTGGGACAGAGAGACAAAGGATAGCTGTGGGATCACTGTCCTAGAGGGAGACCCTCGTGGGGCTCCTGAGTGTCTCAGTTCTTTGTCTGTCTGGATGGACAAGACATTTGCTTAGATCCTGGAATGAATGGAAAAACATGACTTTTTTTTTTAGAGAGAGCCTCTCTATGTAGTGCAGGCTGGCCTTGAACTCACTATGTAGCTCAGGTTGGCCTCAAACTCACGGCAATCCTCCTGCCTCAGCCTCCAAGTGCTGGGATTACAGGTGTGTGCCCCCACGCCCAGCATGACTTCTAAATTAGATTGATCTAGGTGCACATCCTGGGAAATTCACTCACTGGAGCTGCAGGGTTGTTATTTTATTTTATTTCTAAATATTTATTTTTGCAGTCCAGGGGGTTGAACTCAGGGCCTTCACACTGAGTTACATCCCCACCTCTTTTTTGAGATAGGATCTTGCTAAATTGCCCAGGCTGGGTTCAAGCTTGTGATCCTCCTCAGCCTCCAAGTGTGGGGATCATGGGTGTGCATCGGCACACCTGCCCCAGGGTTGTTACTTTAAAGTAGTAATCGGGACACCTACCAGGCCTGGCCGGCGGAACCATGAAATAGTGGTTCTCACACTGTAGCGCAAATGCTGTTCTGCACATCTACACACCCGGTGCTCAGCAACACCTGTGAGACAAATCTGTGGGATCCTTTTTGCAGATAAGGCAACTGAAGACCAGAGCCCTGGCTCGGATTCTTCCCCTTTTTGCCCCTCCTTTCCTTCCTTCTTTCCTTCCTTCCTTCCTTCC